ATGTAGAAATATTGAAATAATAATATTGCTCATTAAATTATGAATTACATGATAGAGTATAAATAGGAGAGACTCCTAACACAACTAGGAATAGAGAATGGAAACTAACTAAAATACAACTTCTACCATAAATAGGATTAGGAAGCTGACTAATAATGAAACACTACCATAACCAATACTACAAGAAGTACTATTAGTATTATTGTCTAACAATATATATATATATATATATATATATATATATATATATATATATATATATATATATATGCCCATTGTGAAATTAATCTATGTACATTTAGTAATTGCATAATGCTCATTGCATATATAAATGTTATTTTTACTTTTATACCAATTGTTAAATTAATGATTTCAAAAGACACGGGATTTTGCCTCGTAAATTCGAAATTGTAATCTATTCTTGCATGGAGGGTCTTGTACTACTAGTAGTAGTAGTAGTAGTAATAAATAAATAAATAAGTTAACAACAACAACATTAATAATAATAACCTATCAAAATCATTAAATAATAGTAATTTTAATATAACTCAATTCCACAAAGTCCAAAGAGTCCAAATATACATTATGTCGGTGGACATTGCGCAGTTGGCATGGAGGTAAATCCCGAGTTCAATTTTGGGCAACTGTGGTGGCCGGTGGGAGATAACTCTGCTACACATTTGCGATCAAAGTCCAATTCATTTATTCTCGGTGATTATCTGATCGGGTCTCAAAGAACCCTGGTGGATGAGGTTCATCCTTCCATTTTTCAAATGCCCACCAAATTAAAGTTCCCTTTTTGGATTATCTCAATTGATAGTGCCTATCAATCCGGCTTTTAAGAAAAAAGTAGTAATTAACAACTGCATGCCAATATGATTATTATTCATTGATAAATTAGTTATGATACCTTTAGCATAAGGTCAAATTTGTTGCCAATAATAACAATTTTATTCTGACATAGATTACGATTATAAACACTTTATTATGATCCTTAAATTCATTCCAAAGGACCCAAAAAAGTTTGACAAATGACATTTCTTATGCTTTTGACTTCTCGCCTTCATTTCCAATTCAAGTACTTCTCATTGGTTCAATTCTTATTTAAGCATCTAGTACTTGTCATTTTTAAATGTTAGCTATAGATTTGTTTACTCATCATTTTAAGTACCTATTAGTCTTTTCGATTGGCGTTAGCGTTTTGAATATATAAAATTTTAATGGTGTAGATTAATTCTAAAAACGATAACGCTAAAGGTTACCATCAAATAGCATTCTCAAAATGCTAACTTCTAATGTTGACACCAAACGGGGTCATAATCCGTATTACACTCTTGAACCCATAAAATTTATAATGCCAGCCCTCTATACATAAATACTCCCTCCGTCCCTCTAAGATTTTCTTGTTTTGACTTTTTCTAGTTTTAAAGGAGTGTTGAAAAAAAGTAAGAGTTTACAAAAATACCCTTAATAAAAATGGTGGAGTGTATTAAATGAGGCGGGTGGAGTGTAAAAAATAAAATAAGTGGGGGTAGTTGTGGTATTTTAAATGCTTAAAAAAGATAATGTGAAGATCTGTGAAAGATAAATAAAAAGAATTAATGGGAAGATGAGCCGAAATCAGAGCCCTCCTAAACAGCGTAGGTCCTATCGTCCCACAAGCTCATCCCTTTTTGGATTCTCTTTTGTCTTAATTACCCTAATTAAATTTTAATGAAATTAAAAACCGCCATAATTGTCGTTACCCTTTGCCTTTTAAAGGTAAATATGAATACTTAACATGCGGATCCGAGTGCTTATATTATTCAGATCTTGAATGGATTAGGACGCAATAGAATAAAGGCAAATAATCTACTTTGACTTTTTATAATTAAGCTGAATGAATCAATCGCCAATTAGCTAAAAATTACATTACATATAAATGCAAAAAAATGATTTATTTAAAATTTATCTTTTATTTTTTTTTAAATATTACATTATATATTGATGGTGTAAATGAGTAGACTTGATGAATATCGAGCTAAATCTTTAAACTAATTACTAAAATAAACCAATTCCTTTTTCATGTCTATTCATTTCTACAGCTCGGGAGTCGAGTTCAATTCGTTGACCGGGCTCCCAATTCTTCATTTCTGTAACATTCGAGTCAACTTTGATTGTCGTTCGAGCTCACATTCTAAGACGTGCAGGCTCGAGTCGGAATAGTTCGGGTTTTCAGTGGCCCCGAGCACCGGGCCCCACATGCGTAGTCAAAGGGAGGAAATATAGGTAGGTGGGTGGAATGTCATGGCACTACCCTTTCCATATTTTCATAATTAGGTTTCTAAAATTGTAAAAGATGGCAACGTCTTTAATTAATTAATATACTAATCACACAGTAATTACCCATTTCAGATTTTGTTTCTTTCCATAATACTCCGTAAATAGTTTGGATTATATAGATGTGACACCTCTATCCTCAAGCTAAAATTACAAGAAATGTTTTATCACAACTAAATTCTACCAAATCTATATTTTTTGCATAAATTTTTATTTGTTTATATGTTTAAAAGATAGTCACAGTAGTAAGAAATATCTCAGCGTTATGAACCTTAGATGAATGCAAAAATTTACCTGATTAAAACGATAAAAACAATGTACAAAAGGTGATAAATATTTCTGGACTTGATTCCAGACAATGACAAAAAAAGACGACAATGGCGTTGTTTGGAAACAGTTTTTTTATTAGTGTCAGCGCTTTGGATAAAATATTAATGGTATACATAATTCTGAAAATGCGAATAACGCTAAAAGCTACCGTCAGATAGTCTTTTAAAAACGATAACGGTTAACGTTGATGCCAAACATGACCAATAATAGAAAGACTGATTTAATTTAGTCATTATTTGTTGGATTTGAACTTAATTTTTTTTTCAATCTCAAATAAGTCATGTCCCACTAATCTTGACAATTGAAAAACCCTAGGGATGGGGTTAACCCAACTAACCACACAATAACATCCATTTAATAGTTTGTTTGTTTTCTTAGGGAAGGGTTACCCTACTAATCGCACATTAATAATATCCATTTAATATTTTGTTTGTTTCCATAATTAAAAGTTTGGATTATATTAGTGACAGCTGTATATTTAAATTTAAACTAATAAATGCAAATACTTTATACTTATTTTTCTTTTGACTTATATATACTCCATATTAATTTGATTGACGATGATAGATACAAAAAGCAATGGAACAAAGACAGATGACCGGAAAAAAAGAAACCAATCATAAAAGTGATGGGTTTTTGGAAAGTGATTTTTCAACTTTGAGATCCTTTCGAAAATAATAAAAATCATATTTGTATTTATTTGTTTGGTGAGACAAAATATTACTCGTAATGAAAAAAATGTTTAGATAGATTTTGTGTTATTTGGCAGTTGTTGAGTAATAATATTCTTATACTAGTATTGAAAAAAAGAGCATTTTTTTTAATTTTAGCTGGTTAAAAACCTATTTTAGTGTGCTTGGTAAATTTATATTTTACTCCGTAGGCTAGTAAAAAATTGGTAAAGATGTTTTGGGAAAAGTAATTACTACATGCTAAACCCTCCGTCTCAATATATTTTTTCTATTTAGAAGAACATAAAAAATCTCATTGTTTTTTGAAATGATTTTATTCATATAAATTATTCTCTCCGTCTCAAATTTTAATGCATGTTCACTATTCACAGGGTCAAACTGCATTCACTTTATTTCTCTATTTTCGTTAGCAATTTGATAAAATAAAGTATTATTGTCACTACTAGTTTGGTAGCTCTTTTGATGTAGTATTTTAATATGTAATTTTTATTTTTTAACTAATATACCATTTGTCATATAAAATAGTTTGAAATAATTTCAGTCAAACATCGTAAACCAAAACAGGCGTTATAAAATGGGACGGAGGGAGTAGTATAGAAAAATTGTACAAATTACACTGTTCAAAACTATATCAAAAGTTCTAAAAAAATAAATGGTCACAAAAAAGAATCGACAAAAATATTCAGAATAATTCAAAGGAGAACACAACAAAAAATATAAATACCGAGTAATAAATTTTTTAGATAGCAGGGCTGTAAATGGTACAATAAGGAAGTATATGAAATTCTTTTTGCTTAAACTTTTTTGAATGTGAATTTGAATCCGAAATAAACTTTAACAAAACTTGTATTCGTATTTGTTTGATATTCGAATAGTTAAAGAGTCGTAAACCAATGTTCAAATAAGAGAAATTTACTTAAGTAGTAATAAAATATAGTGACTTTTTCAATGTAATACTATATGTTTTTATTTTTCAATGTAGTACCACAAGTCATTGTTTAAGTAAATATCGACCACCACTGGACTTTGTTTAAAGTGAATGCCCACCATCACTAGACATTATTCAAATACTCCGTACTATTTAGAAAATAAAAAAATTTAAGTACTACTTTGGCAAATGACATATTTTTTAGTACTATTTAGTGCAAATTTCACTTCAAGTAATCATAGTTTAAAGAGTTTAATGCACCGTTCCCCCCTGTGATTTCCTAAATGTTCACCGGTGCCCCCTCTGCTTCTAAAACTTACTCCATCCCCCCCACTAATTCTAAAATCCTACTCCATTGCCCCCTCCGTTTCTAAATCCGTAAATTTTAACGGAGCGTGAAGGAAACGCATTTGATATGCGTTTGGTAGAGTATTTTCTCAGCTTTATTGCACCATTCCCCCCTGTGGTTTGCTAAATGTTCACAGGTGCCCCTCTGGTTCAAAAAATTACTCCATGTACGTGAAAATTTGAGTGTGCACCATCTGTCATCTTTTTAAAAAAGCCAACCATATTTAAAATGAAAAAATCATAAAGAATCTCCATTCCGTAAATCAAAAATATCATAAAATCAAATGGTCAACTAATTTGACGATGTTGCTACAATATGTAAATGAAAAAGCTTCCATTATGTATATATCAAGAACATTTTCTAGACAAAAT